TATATATATATGTATATATGGACGCAGGTATATTTTAGGGAGATCGTTCCTGGGACCCCGAGTCACTGGAATATCCGTATTCGGCAACTCGTCCCGTTTCATTAAGGACATGTTAATGATAGTTACGAGTCGGCAGGGTGGTAGAAACGTCGGTTAATTTACCCCCGCCGCTTAATGTATGCATCACTGTTGATATTATTAAAGTTCGGACCGGAGGTGTATTCAATTAGCAACCGATACGTGTGTGGTGGCTGCGCACCTGTGTGCGGGGAGGGGCGCGTGGAGGGGAGGAGGAGGGGAGGAGGTGGTATCGACTCGCGGCGGTACGGCTGCTTCGTTTACGCGAAATTTAATACCCTTCCCTCCTCCTTCCCCTTCCCTCTCCCTCGTTGTTATTAGCGGATTTATTATTCAAAAGTGGCGGGGAACGGAGATTGAGCGGAGCACGGGTAAATCAATCGACGAGACACGAGTCTCTCGTCATCGAGATATTTTCTCTCCTTCTGTTTCTTTTCGCGTTGCGTGAGTAGGGAAGGAATTGTAAGGAATTGTGAGATTCTCGAGGAACGCGTCCCGAAAAAGTTTCGTAGGGGACAAAGAATTCAAGATGGGATTTAATAATGAAGATGGAACTAGTAAGTTTTGGAGAGAGATTTTCTCTCTCTTTTTTTAAATATTTCCATTTTCCTCCCAGATATTTGATATTTTTCATTTAAGGTGAATATTGATCCGATTTCAGTTACTAGTTAATCTCATTATTTGGAAGAAATTCCTCTTCACCGATAGTTGAATTAAGTAGATCCTTTGAGAAATGATCGTGTATTAATTGCATTTAGATCAAATCTGGAAATCTTGGATCTTTGATTTGATCAGTAACTTGCATCTTACGTTTTTAATTTCAATTTTTTACTCAACTCCGTACGCGTGCTCGAAGATCGAATTAAATTTATATAGTATAAAGCGTTATTTTATAAAGTCAGGATGTCATCCACTCGTGATAGAGAGATATCCGTACGTTTAACGAGGCGATATAATTATCGAATGAGAATTAATCTGTGATAAGGTGATGCAACGGAGGATACGATTCGTACGGCATTTTTTTATTGGAAATTAATATCGAAGATGGGGGGAGGCATAGAGAAAAATGAAAGGAAGCCAAGTAACTAATGGGACGGAAACAGACGACTTTTCAGTCCCAATTAAAACGCCGCCGCTTTGCGAGTCGCGATACGATAAATGAAAAACAAATTATTTTTCAATTAATCCGCGTATTGGCCCCGCTATTAACGATATGTATAAATTTCATTCAACGAGGATAAATCAAATATTATTATCCCCCTTTTACGTTTCCCTTTCCTTCGCGATCATTAGCGAAAGAAATTTCACCGAAAATTTTTGGAAAAATATTAAACGATAATCCGAGTAATTTTTGGGAAATTAAAAATTCGGAGAATACTCGAATGTACGTATCTTTTTTTTTTATATATTATTTTATATATTTTATAACGAGAAATTCTCTTTTCGATCGAGTAAAAAATCGTACGTACGTTTTTTTTTATATATTATTTTATATATTTTATAACGAGAAATTCTCTTTTCGATCGAGTAAAAAATCGTGGGAAAAAATTTTTGAAAGAACGATGGATTAAACGGAAAACACAAAATTAAATTTCTCTCTCATAAAATTTTTAAGAATCAAAAAAAAGGATTGCAGAAATGAAAAGAGCTTTGACCTGATCCGATATCGCGCATTGGAATCTTGGATTGAAGAAAGAAAAAAAAAAGAAATTTCAATTAAAATCAATGTATCCAGGAGATCGCTAGAAACACCCAAGAAATGCGAAAGACATGCCAAGTGGAACGAGGAGGATCGAGATACTGTCTCGAAACGTGCCAAAGGATTAAGCGGACACTGGATCCAAAAGAAGATAATAATGCATCTTGTACGAAAATGTTTCTACGTCATCCGTTATCATTACCGTTTAATGAAAAACTCCTCGTGAATATTATAACTTCTTTCGATATTAATATTTTTCAACGGCTAATTTCGCCACTCGAGAAGCTATTGCACGCATCAGCATTCACGCTACATTGGTTATCAAATAGAGGGGAGAGGATAAAAGGAAGGGAGGGAGAAAGGGATCCCTTTCATGGGGTTCTCATGAAAATTGCTCGAAAAGTTGAATTCGTAACGAAAGTTCATTCCGGCGACCGGAAACGTTAGCCAGCTTTCCTCACAGTCGTCCGTTTCCATATTTCCCTTCCGCTTCGTTGCCATAATAAACGTCGTCTCGATTCTCGGCCACCTCGGTCGGTGTTGGAAGAAAGTTGAAAATTTAAGAAAGAGAAAAATTCCACTTTGTACATAATTAACACCGACACGGCTCAACGATTCCTCTTGAAAATCAAATTAAATTGTAAATACGCTACGATCTGCTACGCTTTCTCGCAAGAAAAAGAAAAAAAAAAAAAAAAAAAGATCATTAAAATAGCACCAAAACACCTAACAATCTCTCGACAAAATTCTCCCTTTCCCATCCAACAAATCCTCCTTTTCCCACTTTTCAAATTTCAGATCAAAATCCCTGCTAACTTGAAAAGTTACGAAAGGGAAAAGAAAAGTCTCGAACACAAAGGTGCGCGGTACGTATATATATACTGTATATATATATATACTATATATCCACGTATGAAGACCACCCATTGCACGGACACCGAGCGCATTCTGCAGTAAGCAGAAGCGGTAAGCAGAGCCCTTTGCCATACCGAAAACCGAAACCGATGCCGGTTGGAAATCTCACAAAGGGAATCAGCCAGACAGTCAGACAGGCAGACAGACAGTGGAGAAAGATGGGAAGAAGGGGAAGGAGGAGGAGGAGGAGAACGGAGGGAGGGAGGGGGAAGGGAGGAGAGGTTGCATCGGGATTGAACCGGATGGCTTTAGTTCCGTACAAGTAAGATCTAATGAAGCAATTCAAACTGTAACCACAGACCGCTTCAAAGTTTTGAGAAATGCCGCGGCGCACGGGACGGCCAGTACATTACCGGCTGGTAATATCAGCCATACCGATGCCACAACTCGCCTATATCTCGCCAACTATGCCCGACGTTCGACTGCACACGCGGTACCGAGAAACACGCTCGAAACATTAGCGCTCATCGACTCTATCCCACGGAACCACCGATACAAATATAACCCGTTCGTAATTAGTGCTCCCTTTAGAACAATAACGTTCTCCGGCTAACGAGGCTCCGGAATCGGCCGCGTCGAATGGGCCGCGTAAATCTGCCGATAAATTTTGAAAAGGATGCTCGTCGATAATTCAATTTCGATTTGAGTCGCTTTAAGAGTCAGGATGCGTTTGGGAGCGAAACCCTCGAGAGTATTAAAAAAAAAAATAAGGGAGAGGGGAATTTAAAATTTTTCCACCAATCCAGCGTTGTCGACGTAGTTTTCGTTTATGATTCTTTATGAGAGGTTTAGAAGATTTTGAAAAAAAAGAAATGTTTTGTTTGAACGCGTTTATTCGTTGTGAAAAATGTTTGTCGATTTATCCTTCGTGTTCCAAAGTGAAGAAACGATGATTCTGAAAGTACCGATATAAATGAGAGAAATACATAATGCGAAAAAAAGACATTCGCGGTGATATTTATATTAAAAAGTAATCGCAAAAATCAATAATATTTCTATGAAAAATAATTAATCATCCATCATCTTGTTTTTAAAACGCTTTAAAAAAATATCACGGACACGTCATATCGAATTTGACTCCAATAACCGTTAATTTGATAAACTTGAAATTTGAAATTGAATTGAAATGAAATAAAAATCCAGTTCGAATATATGCTTCTCGTATGCGGCATGACAATAATTTGTCACGAGTGTACATGTTACGAGACTACGCGTAAAAAGCACCCGAGGGAACAGATAAGTGTGCGTTTTGATGAAATTTTTGCGTAGGAAAAATTGTAATAGAGCTGTGAATTGTACGTGAATGGTAAACAATGTTTGGATCGAGTTCAAGGACCGACGCGAAGGTTAAAGCCATTCCGCCGGCGGAATTAAGCGTCCTGATTAAAAACGTTCACAACAATTGCTTCTACGAACGAAACGTAGCCGTAGTAGTAATTGCGCACTGTACGATTGCCGGATAATAAAACGCTTCCTAAACTCGTAAACCGTCAATTCTCGTCTTTAAAAAAACGTCTAACATCCTGAAGTCACACACCAATCCCTCCGCCCTTCCCTCCCCCTCTGTCTGCCTTCCCCGAACGAATAAATTTACGAATCTCCTCCGTCGAATTTTTTCGATACACATACAATTCCTCAAAACGTTAAAAACGAACACTGTGGGAAACACCATGAGACATTTTACGCGAAAATCACCACCACCGTTAAAAATAAATAAATAAACATACCTAACTCCTCGTCGATGCGAACGTTGCGTCCGAATAAATTCTCGTAAGAATCGTAAAGAATCGTGTCCTGGATGTGTCACCAATAAAACACGGGGAAAAAACACGGGAAGAAACGAATAATAAAAAAGAAAAGAAAAAACGGTCGTCGAACACACACTACACTTATTCGCGATGTATGTCGCGAGACGGGTGAAAAAAAATATCCAAGGTTTGACGGTTTCACTGCGGGGGAATACTTTTACTTGTCCACGGTGATCTCCGCCACGTTTCAAGGGCTACGCCGATGCGACGGTTTCGTTGGAAACGATGGTGTCGTCGGTCACGTTTACATCTCGCCACCGGTTGCGGCTCGAGGCGACGTGGATCGAATCGCGGTCCGCCGATAACTACCGACGACGCCGGGTCGGCAGGCAGGCAACGCGACCAACCCCGAACGCCGCGCATGCGCGCTACCATACGAGCGCGCCACCCCACTCTCAGTCGCGCTCGCACAATGCTTCGGGAGAGGCGACGCTCGCGACAAAGGACGCCTTTTCCGCCGCTGTTTTCCCAAAACCAACGACTCGCGACGTGTCGTGATACGCGTGTAACGAGGATGAGTTAGGATGCCGGAGAGATTTTTCTGGTCAGCTTGGACGATTATATTTGAATAGTTTCTCTCTTGAAAAGAAATGGAATGATTTAAAATAAAACGTTTCTCGCGGTTTCTTTTAACTTCTTTGGGGATATTGACGTTTAGTTATTTTTTTTTTAATTATTCCGAGTAAAAAGAAAGAATTAAAATCCGTTCGAGAATTCTTCGCAACAGAATCTTTTTTAATAATAAGATTGGGAAAGAAAGGGAAGTATGTTTTTAACGAACGTCTTATAACGAAGAGCGAGTGATACTCGGATAATATTCCCATTAGAGATCTTTTAGAGAAAACAAAATGTTCGATCTTTTCTTCGGTATCATTTTTATCAAACTCGAGTGATATACGATCAAATAAGGAGAAAAAAAGAAAGAAAGAAAAAAGGAGATGAAAAATTGCTCATCGAGAAACTTTCTCGTGGACCAATATGGCGACAAAAGAATGGCATCTTTTTTTTTTTTTTTTACACTCGCAAGTTCTCACGTTTGACCACCTACTACGTGACATACATGCGCGCGAGCAATGACACACATCATTGACACGCGTCAAGCGTGGACCTGCCTTAAGTGGTTCCCCTAAGTTCTGGTGGTAAGCCATCGGGGAAATGTTTAAACGTGTCCACCAGCTTGGCAAGCCAGCTACGAAATTGCACAGCGTTCTATACTCGACCCACGGCTCGTGTCGCGAACTGTACGAAAGTTAAAAAAGACAATTACCGCGGAGCAATATAAACGTTGGAACAAGAGCGTTCCACGCCCGTAATTCTTCCATACTCGCCATGATAAAAAGATCGTATAAAATATTGTTATGTCATTGAAGTTGTGCCACCATTACACCTCCTTATCTATTCGTTGCTTTTTTTTTTTTTCTTTAAACATGAGTGGTGTCGCCTTTTAAGGTTACTAAAATTGAATCTCTCGAATTTTTACGCATAGAATCTGTCTGAGAGACAGAAGTATAAAAATATATATATATATATAATTTTTTTCTAATAAATTTTATTCTTTGACAAAGCAAAGCTCAATTATTTCGTAGGAAATCTTTCTGTGGGATTATTTTTCGAATTTTTTTGCTGAAGTAGAAAATATTTACAAAATTTTATTTAAACTATATCTTTTCCGGAATAAGGAAGGTTAATTAATTAATAGCATTGCCACGTGTTAAGTGCGTATCATCAAGTGATTTGCAAATCAATAAAGCGTCTAGCTAATACGTGTAGTGTGTGTACTCACGTGTATGTACCACTGTTATGTGTTAGTTGACGGGTCTCGTATCCATGTGTGGCAATTGAAATTATTAATCTGTATCCCTGCTCGTGCAATACGTCATATGACAGCATTAATACGATAGTTCGAACCTCTTCGTTAACCATTCTTTTATTTAACCATTTCTTTTATTACAGACATTCGTAAATGCAAACAACGAATTGACTCAAGTAAATTAACCCTCCTGCAGTTCCTACTTACTCCAATAAAAAAAATTAACATCAATAACCGTACTATTACTATCCCCTCTTAAAAATATTAAGAGTCTGAAGCTTAAAGTTTACGTTCATTTCGGTTCTTCAGCGGATACTGCTCTCCTCCCTGACTGGTTAATCTTCAATTTGCCACAATTTCGTGGATGCAAATGGAAATCGAATATTCATTTCTCGCTCTCGATTGAAATTTTCTAAATCGCGCAGGTTGTAATAGCAGGTAACAAACGATATATAAAACTTAAATATATATAACGATATTATAACGATATTTAAGAATTATTTTTTTGAGAAAAAGCGAAAGCAAAGCTAGCTTTAATTTCTCCGCTTAAAAGTGTCTGACCGTGCATCGAGAACTCCCGAAGAGATTGAAGAATTCGCGAACGCGTTTCTTCACGGGGGAAAGTAAGTTTAAAGAAACATCCTGGAACTTGGCTTCGAGCAAGTCGAGCCATAAAGTCGACCTAATAACGCTTTTTAAACACACGCATAACTCCCCCCCTCCCGGAATTTTATAACGTCTTTTACGAGCTGACGGCCGGCTGCGGTTACGAACCAAGATCAAACCTAACCTAACCTCCCTGACCATTCGAAACCATCTCACTTGCTCGCGTTTCGTAATATACATCCACGATGCTTTTTGATATTAATCGCATAAACTTTCAACGGTGAAATGTACGAAATTATAATCGAACATCACGCATCGCGTGATAAAAGTAGAAAAATAAAATAAGAGTCTGTCGGATCTGCGTTCTGGAAAAGAAGCTTTTTTGATGTTGTCGTGAAAACGTAGTTAGTAAGAAATAAATAAAAGTGGAAGTCTGAGAAGTGTTATTATTAGATTGGAAAGAAAGTTCTTGCGGTTTTTAACTATTAAATTCAAATGCACGTAGCTCAAACAAAACTTTATTAATCAAAATAAAGACCGTTGCAATCAATGCACTTTTGGCAACGAGAAAACAATTTTTGTTATTTGGCTGAATAAAATTCTGGAGGCGACAAACTCGTTGAATGCCGCTTCAGCAATGAGATTTGAAGCATTTCTCATCGTCTTCGAGGCTCTCATAAACGCTTCGAAATTTTTTAAACCACCATTGTGCAGTACATTAGTGATCCCAGGACCAAACGCCTCATTGATATCGCAAGCCGGCAGCTTTCCAATCTAGTTTGAACTAGAATAGGAAAATTGTTCGAATCTGCTTCTTATCCATTATGTTTTCAACAGCTTGAGAGAAATCAGAAACTAATTTGAAAATAAAATTAATATCACAGTGCGAAAAAATTATATACTTTAAAATTATTACACTTTAAAATTATATACAAAGTCAATACAATTTAACACCAACTTAATCGAAAATAAAGCATTTAAAATCAAAATAAGAAAAAGAATTTCTTTCTTTCCAAATATATATTTGTAATAGCGGAAGAGTCTACAATAGTTTTGTCTTAAATTTTTTATTGTTCTGGATCACAAATGGATTCATCTTTTTACTTTATTGAAGTATAAGAAGGCAAAGATTCAAGATAATTGTCTTGATTCAATTTATACGTGAAACGATAATTTTTTAAATTAGAGGGACTCGATCTTCGCATATATATATATATATATGCATTATGTTAGTGCACATATTTATTTATTTGTTATATTTACTTTTCGCGAATAATGCAATTATGCGTGCGTTTATACTATCGGTTTGTTCTAGGCCAGTTAATAATCGAGCAAAGGCTGACGAAGCACTCATTTAACCGTTCTAATTCGCGAATATTGCACATGTACAGGGAACTTTAATCGGTTCACTGGTTCATGTAACACACCGTCGATTGTATTAGGAATTTATTGTAGTAGGGATGTTTAATGCGTTTCATCGGTATCAGCAAATTAGTATGGAAGCTCTGGGATGTGATTAATACCTGACTCAAATTTCATACCCGCCGCTAATACAGCCTGTGTATATTAATATCGCTCGTTCTCTGCAATCTGCTTGTCCTGCTAGTATGAAAATCATCGTAATTGTCTGTACAAGATTTTCCACGTCCCCAGCAACAAGTTCCCTTTATCAAATAACTATATATATATATATATATATTACAATTTTTAATTATAAAATCCATTTCAGTTTTTATTTTTTCCTTTTTTTCTTTTTATTTGGAAATCCATTCCATTGTATCACAATACAAAATGATAGATTTAAAAACTATTACTCTAATTTTCACGAATTTTTATCCTTAATCGTCGAAGATTTCATTTTTAATTATAAAATCCTCATTTCAATTTTTATTTTTTCCTTTTTTTCTTTTCACTTAAAAATTCATTCCATTGTATCACAATAAAATGATAGATTTAAAACTATTACTCTAATTTTTACGAATTTTCATCTTAATCGTCGAAGATTTCATTTTTAATTATTAAAAATCCTTATTTCAGTTTTTATTTTTTCCTTTTTACTTGGAAATTCATTCCATTATATCACAATACAAAATAATAGATTTAAAGACTATTACTCTAATTACTTTTTTACTTGGAAATTCATTCCACTATATCACAATACAAAATAATAGAATGATAAACACTATTATTCTAATTTTCACGAATTTTCATTCTTAATCATCGAAAATTTAATTTTTAATTATAAAACCCCCATTTCAATTTTTATTTTTTTCTTTCTTTCTTTAGACTTAGAAATTCATTCCATTGTATCACAATACAAAATGATAGATTTAAAGACTATTACTCTAATTACTTTTTTACTTGGAAATTCATTCCACTATATCACAATACAAAATAATAGAATGATAAACACTATTACTCTAATTTTCACGAATTTTCATCCTTAATCATCGAAAATTTAATTTTTAATTATAAAACCCCCATTTCAATTTTTATTTTTTTCTTTCTTTCTTTTGACTTAGAAATTCATTCCATTGTATCACAATACAAAATGATAGATTTAAACCCTAATCGTTTACATTCGAATCGAACATTTCCAAGATTTCATTCGTAATGGATGCTCGTTCCCACATTTTCTCTCCGTGAAAACACGGAGACAAGGAGATCCAATCTGAACACCAACCCACTATAGACAAGATTCGAAATGATACATTGTTTCGTCGAAAACGTTCATTCTTTACTTCTTTTTTACTCAAAATCGAAATACGTATCGCGCGACGATCCGACACCCTTAATAAACCCCGATCGCGGGATATTAACGAATAAATCCTGGCGTAAAAAAAAAAAAACGTATCACTGTTTGCCCA